CCAGGATCCCATTGGCCTTCTTGGCAGCCAGGGCACACTGCTGGCTCATGGTCAACTCGTCATCCACCAGCATTCCCAGGTCCCTCTCTGCAGAGCTGCTCTCCAGCAGGTCAGCCCTGAGCCTGTACTGGTGCATGGGGTTGTTCCTCCCCAGGTGCAGGACCCTGCACTTGCCCTTGTTGAACCTCATCAGGTTCCTCTCTGCTCAACTTTCCAGCCAGTCCAGGTCTCGCTGAATGGCAGCACAGCCTTCTGGGGTATCCACCACTCCTCCCAGTTGTTGATACAGTAGTAGCAACTGGAAAAGAGCAGGTGGAGCGGTCTGGTACCAGTGTGTTTTACTGGTATCCCAATCCACCCATACTGATGTGGTAATTTCAGAGGTAATTTGATAAAATCACAGGTCCGTAGGTGAAGTGAACCTGACAGAATGCCTGGACCGAGGATGCGTATCAAACCTTCTTCAGAGCTCTCTGTTACAATAGGCAATGGTCTGTAAATTGAGGGTTGGCAGAATTTGTTGCGGGATTTATATATGATAAGTTAAAATAATGTTTATGCTTTCTGAGTTAATTCATCCTACGCATAGGCTTGTGTTCTTCCTGGTTTAGGCTAAGTTACAAAGAAAAAATATGAAATATATGAAGGATTATGGCTCCTCCCCAACCTTGAAGCTATATACTGGATTTTATTCTGCATTCCCTGAGGAGAAATCCTCTTAACCAAGGCCTTGCTACAATATCTTGAAAGAATTTTGTTCAGGAGCCTCCCTTATCTAAAATCACTTACTGAGAAAGGCTTTTTCTTCCAGTTTATATAGTCATAATGTTACAAACACTAATGAGCTGTGGCAATCACTTTCACCTACAGTTCCTGAGTAGTCTGTCAAATGCTCATAATTAATTGGCCTAGCATCTTACTTGTAGATTATGATCTACAACTTAATAGCTGGGTTAATAGCTGAGCTTCAGAAGTTTCTTGTAATTACTTTGTTCAGATTTTTAACCATCTTTATCTTAAAAGTTCCTTAAATTACAGGTCTTGTTAGCTCGCTTGCTCACAGCAAACCCTCCTATCCATGAGTCGCTGGCCCATGTTTCGGTGGTTGATAAAAGGTAAGGGGGGTTTCTTCAGTCCATGCCAACACAGATGCACCGCTCCAGGTGTGCTGAAGAAATGTCACTGTGTCACTTACAAATGGGTTCCCTGTGACAGAAGTAAAAATATCAAAATGCAGTATTGTTTTCTTTTCTCCTTCCAAATGAATACTATTGTGATGTTCGAAACTTTGCGCCTTCAAATTCAGGCTAGATTTTTTTTAAACCTAAAATAACATCGCTATTACTAAAATACTTGTTTCAAAATATTTTTCCTGATGTGTTTTCTTCCCATCACCAGGAGTTACGGCTGTCTTTAACGAACTGCTCAACCTAACATCTCTTTCCTTCAATGTCTTTACTTTTCTCTTTCCTTCAGTGTCTTTACTTTTTTTCTTCTGGTCTTGCACACCCCTTTGAAAATCCTGAACATTCATCCACAACTTCTCTCACTCCTCTGCATCTCAGCCCACCCACCACAATGCACAAGTGCTGTAACACTTCCTCTCTTTCTAGTTCGCTTTTTTGCTAACAGCACACAAAGCCTTCCCTTCTGCTTGTGTCAACGACCCACAAAATTCTCATGTCCAAGGACTGGAACCTGCTCTGTTACCCACTCACCCAACCCGTATACCATTTCGTCTGGCACTTTCCTGAATGAAATTTCCTGCACACAGAGGAAACTGGCTCCCATTTTTAAGCAGCACCCTCATCTGGAGCTTTCGCAACTTCTGCTTCTCTTTTCCAAAATGCTTTTTGGCAAAAGCAATCCAGCACTCGTGCAGGGAGAGTTAAGTCTGCGTGCAGAGCAGAGCGTGGCGTGCAGACTGAAAACAGCCTTGTGTACATCCAGCATTGGTGGGAGAAATGGCGTTCGCCCCTAACTCACCAAGTGCTTTGTCTTGCTCTGGTAGCTGTTAGCCATCAAGGAAGAGCAGTGTTCTCAGCAATCTGCATCAGCAATACCAAGGAGAGCTGTGCTGAAGCTCTTCCTTCCTCACCCCGGCATCTCTGGGGGGCTCCGTGGCCCAGCACTGCTGGGCTGGGACCATTTAGCCGAGCAGCACTACAGAAACAGCTGTGTCACCGGAGGATAAAAAGAGGCTCTGAGCTCTCAAGCACCCTTCACTTGGTTAGATAACCAAACCTGCACAGCCTGTGTGCGAGTGGTGCGTAGCAAGGTCAGGCTCAGGCCACGTCAAACTCAAAATACTGGGTCTGTTCTTCCCTTGTGTGTATTGTCATGGTGAAAAAAAAGTGGGTTTATGTAATTTTATGCAGCTTCAAGTCAAGGCTGATGATTGTGCTCCACAACTTTCTCAGCTACAGCTGCAGCCTCCTTTTTCTGGTTATCAGTGCAGAGGTTCTTTGTGAGCAGAGCATCGGGAGATAAATTATACAAAAAGTACCGGGCACGACACAAGTGCCTGTTTGGGCAAAGTGTCTAACAAACTGAATTATACACCACAAGTATTACACCCAAACAAAACGTAACTGCATCTCTGTGAAAGAGCAGCTGCTGTTACTAAACAACATTCATGGTTAAAAACAGAAGTCAAGGACAAGCAGAGCTCCAGTTATTCTCAGGAAAGGCGATTTCAACCTAGAAGAGTCTACTGCCCAGGGACCATAACAAGAAATCCTTGGGAATCTCAGAGCAGAAATTTAAGACGGAGAGGGACATTTTACAAGGGCATGTAGAGATAGGACAAGGGGTAACGGCTTTAAACTGAAAGAGGGGGGATTTAGATTAGATATAAGGAAGGAATTCTTTACTGTGAGGGTGGTGAGGCCCTGGCCCAGGTTGCCCAGAGCTGTGGCTGCCCCCTCCCTGGCAGTGTTCAAGGCCAGGTTGGATGGGGCTTTGAGCAGCCTGGTCTGGTGGAAGGTGTCCCTGCCCATGGCAGGGAGGGTAGAATGAGATGACCTTTAAGATCCCTTCCAACCCAAACCATTCTGTGATTCTACAATATGTCTTGATTAGATAAAGTTGTTCAGAATGCATAAGAAGTTGTGAAGTTTGCTAGAGCAAGGTGGAAGAAACGTGATTACATGTCACTGCGATAGATGTGCTAAAGAAGTCATGTAAAACAGACTACAGAACAGAGATTACAGAGGTTACTTCTGGGTCATACAGAGTTAATGAATGAATGTGTGAACTAATAAGGTAAAATACCAAAGTGTGCTTCAGAGCCAAGTTTGGGAGCCATTTCCCCAGGTGAATGCACACCCTGCCTCGTGATCTGCCCTTCCTCACCTACCAGGACTTCCCATCTGGAAGTGCTGGATTTGGTTAAACCCCACTTGTTTCTTTTCAAACAGGTCTTTGGCTCGTGGTGGGTTTGGTTTATTCAAGCATGCTCCCTCGCATAGCTTTGAGAGGAGGAGGGAGGTGCCAGCTTCACACTGACAACTAGACTGGAAAAGAGAAAATGCTGGGAAAAATCCTGTGGTAGTGGGAGCTGCCGTGGGGTAGCAGGAGGGCAGTCAGCACCAGGGTCTGCCCAGGCAGCTTTTACCTCCCTCTGCCATCTGGCTTCATTATTCTTCTGCTTAACCTCTGTTTTGGTCATTTATCCTTTGCTTCCCGATAAAGACTGATTTCTTTCCTTTCCCCAGATGACAGCTGTGCTGAAACCTTCCCTCAGGGACTGCCAGGGCTTTCCAGCCAGGAGCCGGATGCTGACTGCTGGGGTACAGAGCGTGTGGCTACAGAAACGTCTCAGCAGTTGGGAGTCGAGGGCAAAAGGCTTTTTTCACATTCCTTCCTAACACATGAAGTTGAAAAAGTCACACAAGCTGAAGAGAAAGAGCAGTGGTGTAACAGAGCCTTTAGGGAGCCCTAACAGATCCCTCGTGGAGCTCCAGCTGACAGTTACACTGGTTCTCCAAATGGGTGCAGAGCTCCCCCATACTGTGGAGGGAAGAAGAATTGTTCTTCGTGGAAGGAGCAGATGGGATTCAGGTGAAGTGCTCTCCTCAAGAGAAGCAGCGAGAAGGGGAAGACCCATGGTCACTCTTTGCTTGTGAGGGCTAAAGCTGAACTCCTTTTGGTCACTGACCTCTCCTGCTCACCTTGTCTTGTTGCTGGAGCAGAGGTGCATTTTGGCAGCTTCTTCAGATGGCTTGAATACCTGTATCTGTTTGAGCTCCTTCAGAAAACCTGGCTGATTACCCTCCTGGTTTGCCATTTGCTGCTCTTCCTTGCACTGATTTCTTCTATAACCTGTTTTATTAACACATCTGTTCAAGACAAGGTCTGAGATACCTAGACTGCAAAGAAGGGTTTTTGCTCAAGAACCTCCCAACAGGCCTCCAGGTGAGGACCTCCCCCAACGAAAAAACAAAAACCAGAAAGGCCATGATGTTTGGGGTTTTTTGCTACAGCAGGTTTTTTTCTGAGCCCCTTCAACCTCCTAATTCTCCTGCCTCTCACCCTTCCAGCTTCCGATGTATTTGAAAGAGACCTCACTATTAACACCTTTCCACAAGTTGTCCCTCAAACTCTTTGCAGTCTGCTTTATCGCACTTCTCTGTTTAGCTTGCCATAGTTTAGGACTCTCTTCTGTTGGTCTTACTTGGTCGCAACTTCAGCATTTTTCCAGCATGAGCAAGATTTTGTGTGGGAACTAAGGAGCGCTGAACGAAGAAACCAAGCAGAAGCGAGCCCTCAAAAACAGGCCACATCCGTGAGAACTGGTGAAACAGCACAGCAGCCTGGAACTGGAAAAGAGACGGTTTCTTAAATGCACTTCCCTGTGGCTTTACTAGTGAGCAGTTACATGATCCTTGTCAAGACAGAAGACTAAACCAATGGGCCAATTTAACAGTACAGTCTTGAGGTTAAAAAAACCAACCAAACAAAAAAACCCCAAACAACAAACCAGAAGGAGGACACTGAGCAGTATTTCCCAGGTAGGAGGTAGTGCCACGCTTCAGGCTAGCCTCTAGAAACTGGTTTGGCCTCTACAAAATACGGTTCTAAAACATGGCACAATCCCTGCAGCGTGCCTTCCACTCTGCAAGCTTGATGTGAAAGCACTGCTTCTCCGGGCGAGAGAACCAGCGGTGCCTGAAGCCTTCAGGAGCCATCCAGCAAGGTCCCCCCTAGGACTCCTGCTTTAATAACTCATGCGTTGAGAGGAGCAACAACAGCTGCAACAGATTTCATTCCTGGCCCACAGGAAAAGAAAGGAGAAAATCCACAACACTGGTATAGAAATGTCTTATACCGAGGCACGGGGAAGCATTTATTCAACCAAATAGCACTAACGCCTCTGTGGAAACAGAAAGTGTTTCCGGTCATGCAGCATTCCAGAGAACTGTCAAGTGCAGGTAAGCAACGTGATACAAGGTATTTTATAGTCACCTCACCCATCTGCTCTCTGGACTGGATTTTATTTTAATTTCAAAAAGATGTTTTGTAGAAAATACTAGAAGATAACAGGAAGTATCTAGAGTAACAGGCATCACCTCTCATCTTTACGTATTCCCCTACATGAAAAAATAGCTTCATCATTACAGAACTTTTTCTGCTCTTTTTCTTTCATTTTGGAAAACCAGGCGTCATAAGGATCTGGCTTTTATTCTTCTTCACAGGAGGAGGCACCAAACATGACTGACAGCAGGAGTAGTCTGTCCGTTGAAAACTTAGATAAACGTGTTGGTAAGAATGTCTTCCTGCTGCTGGTGGTGTAGGGTTCCAATGCCAACTGCTGGGGCTGGTAAAGGAGGTCTACTCACAAGACGGAGCTGAAATTTGAGTCAGGAGGAAATGATTAATGAAGCACAAGCATAGGATCGCACCTTGAGGTCTTCTGATGCCATGGTGATATCTACTGGCAGATACTGGGCAGACCCAGAAGGAAGTGATGCAGGAAGTTATCCTCCATCTCCCAAAGACCATGGCTCCAAGAACATAGTGCACCACCTGCAGAGCAAACACCAGCTTTGGATTCTCCTCTGACTCACTTCAAGCATGTTGTTTGCTACCTGGCATCTTTCATCATCCTCTCTACTTACAACAAGCAGCGGGTAAAAGAAAGCTCCGTTCCTGCTCCTCACCACTGAATGGTGCTATAAAGAGCATAAGTAGCTTAAATTAGAACACGTGTTTGGTTTAGGCAACAGGATTAGTTTTTTGTGTAAGCATCACAGAATTTTGCGTTCAAGGAGAACTTAAAACTTTATTTTAAAGTCTAAACCACCATGGGGACATCTTACCTTAACCCCCAGCTGCTTTTCAAACCGTGGTGACACAAAGGACCATGGACCCATGTTCTGTGGTTCTTCCTGACTCCAGATGAAGACTAGAGGAAGGATAAGGGCACATTACAAATACACATATTTATCTTTTCAGCAGCTCGAGAAAAACAGTTTTTTCTTCTGTAGCACCTCTGCCTTTTTTGTCTTGGCACTACCTTTGAAATGAAGGCTTGCCAGATTGAGTTCCCTTGCAGATCACAGCTTGCTGAAGTCAAACCAAAAGTATGTCCACCGCTAGGGTATACTGTGGGTATATTCTGCTTTTCTACTGCTGTTTTCAAAAGCTACTTCAAGGACTGGACTGCTAAGACCAATGCAAAAAGTGCCCCAAATGGTTCACTCCAGTTTTCAGTAGTGCTTCATGGAAGCTAAAAATAGCAGAGACAAGTTCTTTTAGCACAAGTGGTAACCATTTATATTATCCCACTCCAGAAACACTAGATGTGTGGGGGGAAGAGCAAAGAGGAAAAAGCCACCACAACTCTTCATCCTAAAAGGCAGGCAACAGATTTAGTTCAGTACTTCAAAGAGTCCAGAAACACAACAGCAAAAATCTCACTGACCTTTCGCACGGCTGTATTTGCTCAGCTCTTGCTGTAGAGCTTCCAGGGGGAAAGGACAGAGTTCTTCAAGTCTCAGAACAGCTGTGTTGTGCTGTTTCTCTCCTAGTGTCTCTCTTTGCTTCACCAAAGCATAGTAATGCTTACCAGAACAGAACACCACTTGGGTGACACTATAGACAAATAAGAATGTTTCCAAGTTTAGTATTTTACAGAAACTCTATGCAGAACAGTTTCACGCTTTCAACAAAAACAACCAGCCAAACTTTAAAGACAACTTTACGAAGCTGAATTGCTATCCGAGACTATCTTTTCTCTTCGTTGCCTTCCCTTCCCTCCCACTGCCCTCCACCAGTTGGCAAACCAACCTTTGGGCAGAGTATGCCAGAGCCCAGAGGTCCTGTTTCTTCAGTAACCCTGGGACAGTTACCTTACAATGGGATTCCTCTCTCTTAGCTTTAACTATCTAAAAATTACACCTCTAGTCGAAGCTAATCATCTGTGCACTCTCTGGAGAGAATAAACCATAGAGGGAGAGAAGTACCTCCAGAGGACAATTCTCTCCCATGCCAAAGAGGAACTGCCCGCTGGAGATTCGCAATACCCTCCAGCAATCAGAGACATCTTGGCTGCCTAACCTTACCGGACAAAGGCAGGGAGATAAACCTCACCCTTTGTGCCTCACCATCCCACTTAAAAAAACCTCAAGATGCTAAGATATTTCCAGCCTTTTGATTGTGGGTGAAGATGCAAACATCAGGGATGCTGTCAGACTCGGGTACTACTGGGACAAGGATCAGACAAGAACCTTAGGAGGGAAAAAAAATTAAGGCCAGAATTGCCCATTGTGAACAGGATTCTCTACAATCATATCTGAAGGAAGTGAGATAAACACACAATTTACTATTGCTCTAACTTCACTTCATCAGCTCAGGTGTTCCAACACGAGAACAAAAACTCTGCATCTCTTCACGTAACAGCTGCTCCCAGTGACTGTTAGCTAACGGGCACAGTGCAGAACAGCACCCATCAGATTAGTAACTATGGTCCCAGCCTCCCTGGGGGGGCAAGGGCTGAAAGCCTGAACGCTTTACAATTATGCAGAAAGATATGATAACTACCAACAAGTAAGCAGAAGAAAAAGAGAGAAACGAAGTATAACTAAGTCACCCACCAGAAAACAAGATTTTCCCTCAAAGTCACCTCCTTCGTATCACCTCAAACTTGAACTATTAGGTAGAAGAAAGGAACAGCACTTCCTTTCTGAGCTCTTCCTCTAAGAAAGTAGAGCTACCTTTTAGGATCTACTGAGGAGTCACCAATGACAGGCTTGAATGTTGTCCTTGGAGCCATTTCTTCAAAACTTGATACAGCAGCCTACACGGGGGAGAGTTGGAAGTTACCAAATCTTGCTGCCTTTTCCCTCAGGCCAGAGTCGGGCAGAGGATA